CTGCCTCCCAGGTTCAAGAGATTCTCCTGCCTCAGCCTCCTGAATAGCTAGGACTGCAGGCATGTTCCACTAATGCTGGGCTAATTTTTGTATTTTTAGTAGAGATGGGGTTTTACCATGTTGGCCAGGCTGGTCTCAAACTCCTGGGCTCAACTTAATTTACCCTCTTTGGCCTCTCAAAGTGCTGGAATTATAGGCATAAGCCACTACGCCTGGACAAGGAAGGTTCCTTTATGTAAACTTAATTTAACTAAGGCCTTTGGTATCAGGCAGACATGGAAAAGTTGAACATCTCTGTCATTATTTTTATAAATTTAGATGATTTTAATACTAAGGACTAATAAGGAAAAACAAAATTAGATGCCAAATTTATATAAAAATATTAGTAAGTGTAATCTAGTAGTTAAAAATTGGTGCTAATGATAAAGAATACCCAATTAGGACTTATTGTAGGAATTCAAGGATAGTTCAATATCAGGAAAACTCTCAGCATAATTAATTATATTAACAAGTTTTAAAGAATCTTAGTAGATTTTGAAAAGATAATGGATAAATTTCAACAGCCATTTCTAATAAAATTCTAAAGTCAATGAAATAATTGACATATTTGACTATATTAACATTAAAAACTTCTACCTGGAGCACAGTGACTCACTCCTATAATCCTAGCACTTTGTAAGGCAAAGGTGGAAGGATTGCTTGAAGTTTTATACCAGCCTGGGCAACAAAGCAAGACCCCATCTCTACCAAAACAGAAAAAATTGCTGGGTGTGGTGGCATATGCCTGTAGTCCCAGCTACTTGGGAGGCTAAGGCAAGAGAGTTGGTTGAGCCTAGGAGCTAGAAGCTGCAGTGAGTTATGATCATGCCACTTCACTCCAGCCAGGATGATGGTGACACCCTGTCTCAAAAAATAAAATAAAACAAAAACTTCTTTTCATGAAAAGATACCACACACAAAATGTAAATGCAATCTACAGACTGAGAGAAAATGTTTGCAATATATATATTGTCATAGGAGGTTTTTTTTTTTTTTTGACAGTGTCCCACTCTGTTACTCAGTCTGGAGTGCACTGAAATGATAATGGCTCACTGTAGCCCTGAACTCTCAAGTTCAGGTGATCCTCCCACCTCAGTCTCCTGAGTTGCTAGGACCATAGGTGTGTACCATACCCAGCTAATTTTTATTTTTTTAAGGTATAAAACATATGAATTAAGAAAAAATAGAGATGGGGTCTTGCTGTGTTGCCCAGGCTGGTCTTGGGCTCCTGGGCTCAAGCAGTCCTCCTACCTTGGCCTCACAAAATGCTGGGATTACAAGCATGAGCCACTGTGTCAGGCCTAGTCAGATTTAAAGAAATTCTACAAATAAGTATATAAAAGACAAAGAATCTAAAAGAAAAATTGGAAAAGATTTAAATAGATAATTCACTCTTGACTAAAAGGATATTCAGTCTCACTGTTTTTCTTTTCTTTTCTTTTCTTTTTTTGAGATGGAGTCTCACTCTGTCACCCAGGCTGGAGTGCAGTGGCATGATCTTGGCTGCAACCGCTGCCTCCAGGGTTCAAGCAATTCTCCTGCCTCAGCCTCCCAAGTAGCTGGGATAACAGGCATGCTCCACAACACCCAGCTAGTTTTTTTCAGGATGGGGTTTCACCATGTTGGTCAGGCTGGTATTGAATTCCCAGCCTCAGGTGATCCACCCACCTTGGCCTCCAAAGTGCTTGGATTACAGGCGTGAGCCACCACGCCCGGCCCTAGTTTTTATATTATTAGTAGAGACAGGGTTTCGACATTTTGGCCAGGCTCATCTCAAACTACAGAACTCAAGTGATCCACCAGCCTTGGCCTCCCAAAGTGCTGGGATTACAGGTATGAGCCATCATGCTCAGCCTCAGTCTGACTGTTAATAAATGCAAATTAAAACAATATGAGATGCCATTATACATCCATTAGATTAGCTGAATTTCTTTGGTTCTTTTTTGTTTGTTTGTTTTGATTGCTGTGTCACACAGGCTGGAGTGCAGTGGTATAATCTCAGCTCACTACAACTTCTGCCTCTCAGGTTCAAGTGATTGTCTTGCCTCTGCCCCCCGAGTAGCTGGGGTTACATGTGTGTGACATTACACCCAGCTAATTTTTGTATTTTTAATAGAGATGAGATTTTGCCATGCTGACCAGGCTGGTCTCAAACTCCTGACCTCAAGTGATCCACCCACCTCGGCCTCCCGAAGTGCTGGGATTACAGGCATGAGCCACTGTGCCTGGCTGTAGATTAGCTAAATTTCTGAAGCATGATAATGCTAAGTGTTAGCAAGGTTGTGGAACAACTGGATTCTTCTAGACTGATGGGAGTATAAATTGGTGCCGTTACAATTTTGCAACATCAGGGAAAACTGAAAATATGCACAACATACTAAAACATGCACTCTTCATGAAGAGACCCCCCCATCCCCCAAAAGGCTTTGTGTGAGCAACATGGCTGTTTATTTACCTGGGTGCGGGCAGACTGAGTCCAAAAAGAGAGTCAGTGGAGGGTGGAGTTGGTTTCATAGGTTTGGGGTTGGCAGTGAAAAGTTACAGAAGTTACAGTTTAGGGAGGTTTTTGCAAGCTGGGAGGGGCTCGTAGGGTCTGGAGTCACCAGGTTGACCAAGGCTGGTTACAAAGTCCAATTACCTTATCAACTGAGGCAGGAATAAGGAACAATAGAGTGTGTCTCAAGTTAATTAAGCACCCCAGGGGTTGATCATTCTTCCTCTTTTTGTGGTCTTCCAGTCAGACTTTCTAGTTTTGGGAGGCCATCCAGAGGTGACGTGCGGGTCATAGGGGTCGCCATGGCGTCCATGGCACTGTCAGTCAGCCTTAAAGACCTTACGTAATGTATTGAACACAGCAAACCAGGGTAGTTTCTCAGATGCTTGTTACCACCTTCTTTTTTCTAATGGCATTTTCCACCTTCTAGTTTGTGCTGATGCTGCTGCCTCTGATGGTGACCTTGCCAAACTCCCTGAGATGGGTGGAGTCTGAGTTGAAAACCTAGGATATTCACAGCACTGCTTATGTCAAGCCCTAATCATAATAAACGGTCTCTCCTCTTCTAGACTTGGATAGAATGCTACACATGGGTTATGGAATTTGTCTTCCTCAGTGGCTGCCAAAAAGCCAGATGATGCAGCCCTGAATTGCAGAGGTAGGAAAAGTTGTTGGCTTCTTGTGAGGTGTACTTTGATCTAGGGGAAGTGGGAGAAGGGAGGAGATGGGCAGTTAAGTCCCCCTCCCTTTTTCATTCTATAGATTATGCTATGGTGTGCTCTCTCCTTCAAACATTCTGGTGAAAGATTCATTTGTTGTGTGGACATGAATCTTTTACCAGAGTGACCACTATCTTTTTGTGGCTTGTTGTGATGCAGTGGCCAGCATGGTAATGCATTGCATTATATTGCTTTATATATTTTCTTGTCTCAGTTTCTCTTTTTCTTGTGTTTGCTGTCCTAGGCTTTTGCTTCCCAAATAAAGAGCCTAATCCTTGCCTTAGGCTCTGTTTTCTAGAGGACTCAGGCCATAATATGGAGGATTATTGTTAGGAATTTCTAATTCCAAACTACAGAGAGACCCTTACACATACGCTTTAGAAGGTATTTATAAGAATGTTCATTCCAGCCTTGTTTGTAATAGTAAAAATTTATAAGCAATTAAATATTAGGCTGGGCGCTGTGGCTCACTCCTGTAATTCCAGCACTTTGGGAGGCCGAGGTGAGTGGACCACCTGAGGTCAGGCGTTTGAGACCAGCCTGGCCAACACAGTAAAACCTCATCTCTACTAAAAATACAAAAATTAGGCCAGGCACGGTGGCTTATGCCTGTAATCCCAGCACTTTGGGAGAGAGAGGTGTGTGGATTACCTGAGGTCAGGAGCTCGAGATCAGCCTGACCAACAAGGTGAAACCCCATCTCTACTAAAAATACAAAAAAAATTAGCCAGGCATGGTGGCAGGTGCCTATAGTCCCAGATACTCGGGAGGCTGAGAAAGGATAATTGCATGCCGGGCGCAGTGGCTCAAGCCTGTAATCCCAGCACTTTGGGAGGCCGAGGCGGGTGGATCACGAGGTCAAGAGATCGAGACCATCCTGGTCAACACGGTGAAACCCCGTCTCTACAAAAAATACAAAAAATTAGCTGGGCATGGTGACGCGTGCCTGTAATCCCAGCTGCTCAGGAGGCTGAGGCAGGAGAATTGCCTGAACCCAGGAGGCGGAGGTTGCGGTGAGCCGAGATCGCGCCATTGCACTCCAGCCTGGGTAACAAGAGCGAAACTCCGTCCAAAAAAAAAAAAAAAAAAAAAGATAATTGCTTGAACCCAGGAGGCAGAGGTTGCAGTGATCTGAGGTCGTGTCACTGCATTCCAGCCTGGGCGACAGAGCCAGACTCCTTCTCAAAAAAATAAAAAATAAAAAAAAATGAGCCAGGCGTGGTAGTGTACATCTGTAATCCCAGCTACTTGGGAGGCCGAAACATGAGAATTGCTTGAATCCAGAAGGTAGAGGTTGCAGTGAGCTGAGATCTCAGCACCACACTCCAGCCTGGGAGACAAAGCAAGACTCTATCTCAAAAAAAAAAAAGGAAAGAAGTATATATATTAGTGTAGCAATTTATACAAAGAGATAGTGTACCTTGCTAAAATTGAAGAACCTGGAGCTATATGTATAACATGGAGAAATCTCAAAAACATAGAGTGGAGCAAAAAAGGAAAGGGCAGAAAAATCCACATCCCATACAACCATTTATATAAAGTGTATAAACACATAAAAGCTGTTAAAATGCACACTCTAAATGAAGAGACCCTCCCCCCCACCACAAACAGGCTTTGTGTGAGTAACATGTCTGCTTATTCACCTGGTGCGGGTGGGCTGAGTCCGAAAAGAGAGTCATCGAAGGGCAGTGGGAGGTGGGAGAGTTGTTTTATAGGTTTGGGGTAAACAGTGGAAAGTTACAGAACTCATAGTTTAGGGTGGTTTTTTGCAAGCTGGGAGGGGGTTGTAGGGTGTGGAGTCAGGAGGTTGACCAAGGTCGATTACAAAGTCCAATGGCCTTGCCAATTGAGGCCGGAATAAGAAACAATAGAAAAATGTCTCAGGTTAGTTAGGCGCCGCACGGGTTGATCATTTTTCCACTTTCCAGTTACTTCGGCCTCAGTGATGTCTGTAATGCTTTGTTTTTTATTTTTTGAGATGGAGTCTTGTTCTGTTGCCTAGGCTGGAGTGCAATGGCACGATCTTGGCTCACTGCAACCTCTGCCTCCCCAGTTCAAATGCTTTGTTGCTTTCTTTTTTGAAACGAAGTTTTGCTATTTTTGTGCAGGCTGGAGTGCAGTGGCATGATCTCGGCTTACTGCAACCTCCGCCTCCCGAGTTTAAGTGATTCTCCTGCCTCAGCCTCCTGAGTAGCTGGGATTACAGGCGTGGGCCACCATGCCTGGCTAGTTTTGTATTTTTAGTAGAGATGGGGTTTCACCATGTTGGCCAGGCTAGCCTTGAACTCCCAACCTCAGGTGATCTGCCCCCTTTGGCCTCCCAAAGTGCTGGGATTACAGGCGTGAGCCACCACTTACGGTGCTTTATTTCTTAAGTTGTCTGGTTGGAAAAGGTTATTCTTTTTCCTTTCTAGCTTCAAGGTCGTCTTCTCTCATCTATTTTGTGTCTCAGGAGACAGAGGCTGACCTACATGGCAAGAGAAGAATGTCTCCTGTACCAGTGAGCTTCCTTGCCCTCTGGCTTTCAATTGGTTACAGGTAGTAGGGAGCATCATAAGAAGATGGAAGGGGGCAGAAGAGTGAAACTGGGCTATCATCCTTATGTTTCTCTTTTGCTTAGGTTTTTCTTATTTACTTAGTCCAATGAGCACGGAGAAAATACAACAGATACGTATCAGGTTGTTGACATGGGTATGGTGGGAGTGGGAGGTGGGGTGGAGGTGCTGATATGAGTGAAACGGAAGGAAAGAAGAAAAACAAAGCCAAACCCAGAAGGAAAAATAAAAGGATGTAAGGGTCAGATCTGGGCATTTTATAAAAGCTCTCTAGGAAATTCTGTTTTTCATCTAGACAGAAACAGCCAATGCAAGCTCTTTGAGGCAGAAGGAGGCCAGCGTGGCTGGGCTGGGCGACTGAGGGGCAGGGTGGTAGGCGCAGAGGTGCGAGGTGGGGTTGGGGACACTGTAGGAAACAGGATTTGGCTCTTACTCTGATGTCTGGACCAACAAAAGCGTTTTGCTATTCTCATCCACAAATTCTCATGTCACTTGGGAGGAGATTTGTCAAACCCTCCCCCCCCTTCACCGCCACCCTTACGGGGTTAGTCTCACTGTGCCTGGGGCTAAGGAGTGAGGCATTTCTAACCTTCAGCATCTGCACAAAGGGCTGGTGGGTAGTTTCCAAGTCAGAACTGGAAGAACAAGTCAAATCTGGGTTGCCAGTCTAGTAGAATAAATGAAGAATGGGAGCCAAGGTATGGAGTCAAATGCAGGGCTTTAAGAAACTGGGTCAGACAGGAGGGAGGGGCAGCAGTGCAGACCAGGCGGAGGGAGGGAGGGATTCAGGAAGTGAGGCGCAGACGTGGCAGTTTAATTTATCTTCATCACAAATCTTGAAATCACTAGAGCAGCTACTTGCCCTCTTACAATCTAGACATCAATCTAGAGTTTCAATTTCCTCTTACTAGTCTTCTATTTTTCATTTGGAAGATATTCCCCTTGATAAAGAAAAGAGAAGTGAAATTGTTAAAATACCAATTTCCTTTGTTTCTCAACCTCGTCGCCATCTCAACCCATTCTCTTCCCACAGCCATAGCAATCTTTCTAGTATGCAAACCTGATTGCGTTTGGCTGTCACAATTATAATAAAATCTAAACCTTTCCTTCTTTTTTTCGGGGGGAGGAGTCAATAAACCTTCCCTGATTTTATCCCCGCCCCCTTTTAGAAAATGTTCCTGGCTTTCTCGCTTGCTTCTTTTCTCTTCCTCTCTGTAGCCTTGCCATTCAAAGAGATGCTGTTTGTGGTTACAGCTGTTTTTCAACAGCGGCAGTATTTGGGGTCAGATAATTCATTTGTCGTGGTTGGTTGTCTGTGCCCCGTGGGATGTTTAGCTGTATCCCTGACCTTTACCGGTAGCACTTCTCCAGTGGTGACAAGCGAAAATGTTCCCAGACATTTCGAAATCTTCCCTGGGGGCAAAATTGCCTTCGGTTAACCACTGGGATAGGGTGTGCTGTTTCATGTCTACCCTCCCTCCCTGCCTTCCCTTCTTTTTGCAGGCAGTGGCCTTCTCCCTGTGGTTATCCTGGCAAAAGCAGGCTTCTCTCTCAAAGTCTCCGCCCCATCCTCCCTCCCCGGTGGGAGGGAGACGTCCCTCCCCCACCTCCCAAGGTGGAGTTGGGCAAGTTGGCCCTCCCATTTACATGGCACCTTGTTATTAGAGCCAGATCAACTTGTATTCTAATTCATTGGAGTTGTCTGTCGCCATCTCAGGCTGAGGGATTAGAAGGTCAGATTGTTTTTTAGCCTTTTGTCTTCTGTACCCAGCCAACTGCCTGGCTCAGAACATTGACATCTATGTGTATCTTTAACGTTTTATGTTCAAATACTGGAAATGATTACAACAGTTTAGAAATAACATTTCAAGGCAGATTAATTTTTTTGCCTCATAGCTGATACGATGTCTGTGATAATCTAGTTTTTAATTAGTCACTGCGTCTCACATACGATATTTTGTACATGATTTGTGAATGCCTCTAGTTATTAAGCGTGTTTTTGTCAGGCCTGGTGCGTAGTCCCAGCACGTTGGGACGCCAAGATGGGAGGATCTCCTGAGGTCAGGAGTTTGAGACCAGCCTAGGCAACATAGTGAAACCCCATATCTACAAAAAAATACAAAAATTAGCCAGGCGTGATGGTGCACCCTTGGAATCTCAGCTACCCCAGAGGCCAAGGCAGGAGGATAGCTTGAGCCCAGGAGACGGAGGCTGCAGTGAGCCAAGATAGTGCCACTGCACCGCAGCCTGGGTGACAGAGCCATACCCAGATCTCAGAAGAAAAAAGAAACAGATAACAAGCTAAAACACAAACACACCCATTAGCCTAGGCGTTATTAGGCTTTAGAAAGTTTTCAGCCCCATTGTAATCTGTTGTATTTTCAGTCCCATCATCTACTGAACCAACATTACGTGTCATAATGTTGCATAATCACCTTGCATAATCACCTGCATAAAGCCATGCTATTAATTGACAGTAATTTAGTATTTCTGCATTTTTAGTTCTTCAGGACCAACTATACTTTAAAATGTTATTCCATTCAGGAGGTTCATTATCTATCAAGAATAATTCGGAAAAACATTTCTAACATTTGATTTTTAAATACCTTACCAATGCTGCCATCTCCTGGATGCTTCTAAGCACTGTAACAATCAAAGAAGCCTACAGTTCTCAATGGTGGTTTTCGAAAATAACGTGATATATGCCTAGAAAAAGCTTTTATTTTTTTCCCCGTTCTTTTCATTTTTTTGGTTTAGTTGGCAAAAGGCCTGTATGCATTTTTCTATTTGCCCCATAAAATAGTTGACTATCTGCCTACCCTCCTAACCACCCACTGCGGGAGACAGAGGTGTAGTAGTACTGTAGTGTAAAGTGATTATGCTAAATACTGTTTTTATGCTAAATGCTTTTATTTTGCTCCTCTAGACTCATATCCACCCTTCTCTACTCTGCTTTGTGTCCTAGGAGGCAGAAACTGACCTACATGGAGTGCATCAAGAAGGTATCTTGACTTTTAGCTTCAAATTGGATCTGGGCAATGGGAAGCTCTCCAAGGAGATTAAAGGGGAAGAAGAGAGTAGAGCTGGAGTGTTTATTCCCCCAGCTCTCTTCCTATGAGGCCAGAGGGGTCTGTCCCTTAACTGAAGGTCATATCTCCCCACAACAGCCCTTACCAAAATAGCTCACTCTATCTTAGGGAAGTAGTATTTACGTCCTCTCTTTGTCCTTCAGGCCTAAGGATGATAACATTATCTAACTGTTGTGAAACCCAGAGCACTTTGCTGTCCCCCGGGGTTATCCTACATTCTGCCCATACCTTTTAGACAGTCCTTTTATTAAATAGTCCTTAAATTACCTAGCTTGAACATATTTCATATTTTGTCCCCGACCAAAACAATGGGAAGAAGGATAGCACTTGACTCACAGGCTTGTTACAAGGGTTAAGTAAATTAAAACTTGATTAATGTTTAAACAATGGCTAAGAAAAGAGATAAAAATGAAAGCAATTGGAAAGCAAATAATAGTGATAGAAGACAAAGATGATCCAATATTGGGATAATTGTTATTTGTTTAGAGGTTAGAAGTCCCCTCAATCCAAATACTTCTATTGAAATTGTTTTTAAAGAAAGAATTCAGAGATATAAAAGAGAAAAACTTTTAATTGTAAAATAAGTTTATTGGTGATAACCTTATATAATTTTATTCCTGATATTTGATGTTACAAACTTTGGGGTCTTTGAGATATGCAGACCTTGTATGAAACTGGCATCAACCCCATTATTTGAGCTCTCTTAATTGCTTTTGTGATTTCTTTCTGTTTCTTCCCACAAAGACCTGTTATGTGCCTTCCATGAATGCATCCAGTAAATGGAGAAATACAATGGGACAAAAGCGGTACATTCTATTTTTTTTGAGATGGAGTCGCTCTGTTGCCTAGGCTGGAGTGCAGTGGTGTGATCTCGGCTCACTGCAACCTCTGCCTCCTGGGTTCAAGCGATTCTCCTGCCTCAGCCTCCTGAGTAGCTGGGATTACAGACACCCACCATTAAGCCCAGCTAATTTTTGTATTTTTAGTAGAGACAGTGTCTTCAGTAGAGACCATCTTGGCCACGGTGGTCTCGATCTCCTGACTTTGTGGTCCACCCAAAGTGGTACATTCTTATAATTTACATACTTTCCACACAAGATATATTTCTTAAGAGGCCCCTTATAAGGATTTTCCATTGGAATGGGCAGGTTCTCATTGCTGGTTACCTGCTTATATTTATAACATCTTCCCCATGGCCTCATGTGAGTCCCAGGATGTGCAAGGTAAACAGTTGCTGTTAACAGGCATGTCAACTTCTTCCTCCCTAGACCACTACAGACCGCAACCATAGTGGCCATGTTTCCTCATTCTTCCACTTTCTTCTGTTCCAAATCTGAGAAGAGCTTTTCTAAGATAAAGGAATACCTGAATTAGCAGATCAAAAATTCATGCAAGATAGGAAAAAGCTGATACAGAATGATCAATAAGACATGAGACATAGAAATGATTCTTTAAGTAAATAGCTCCCCCTAAAAACAAAGTCACCAAAAAAGGAGGGGCAATAAAAGATTGGTCTTATGCTAATATTTAATTCTACAAGAAAACAAAGTCTATTAAGTTTTTTTTTTTTTGAGACAGAGTCTTGATCTGTCTCCCAGGATGGAGTGCAGTGGTGGAATCTCGGCTCACTGCAGCCTCTGCCCCCCGGGTTCCAGTGATTCTCCTGCCTCAGCCTCCTGTGTAGCTGAGATTACAGGCATACACCACCACAACTGGCTAATTTGTGTATTTTTAGTAGAGATGGGGTTTCACAATGTTGGCCAGGCTGGTCTTGAACTCCTGGCCTCAGGTGGTCTGTCCACCTTGGCCTCCCAAAGTGCTGGGATTACAGGTGTGAGCCACCATGCCTGGCAAAGTCTATAAAGTTTTAATGGAAAAAAGTGTAATACAGAATTATGGACAGATATATCTTGATTTAAAATTCCCTTAATTAAAAAAAAAATTCTGGGCACAATTTCTAAGGATCTCCTGAGGGCTGTGTAATGCCCCCCACTCCCCCAAAAAAAGTCCGGGCTGGGTGCGGTGGCTTACACCTGTAATCCCAGCACTTCGAGAGGCTGAGGTGGGGGATTGCTTGAGTTCAGGAGTTCGAGACCAGCCTGGCCAACATGGCGAAACTCTGTCTCTACTAAAAGTACAAAAATTAGCCAGGCATGGTAGTATACCTGTTTCAGCTGCTTAGGAGGCTGAGGTACTAGAATCACTTGAACCTGGGAGGCGAAGGTTGCAGTGAGCCGAGGTTGCACCACTGCATTCTAGCCTGGGAGACAGAGTGAGACTCACTCTCCAAAAAAAAAAAAAAAAAAAAAAAAGCCTAGAATATTCTATTTTACAATAGTCATTTTCAACTGTGTTACCAATCAGTGACCAACCTGTGGTCACCAATTAATAAATATCAATGATAAAGCTTATTTATCAAATAAATTATAAACGTGTTTTAAAAATCCCTGGTAAAATGACAAAGTAGTCATGACTTGTAAGCTAAATCATGTGTTTGGCGGTGTGGTTTCATTAACCTTCCTTCAGAGGCTTGTACCATTTGTCAGGGACATTGTTTTTGGTTATGATAAAAAGACTCAAAAGTTTATGTGGTGTTTTTTCCCCACTACTTTTCATGCCTATGCATCTTCATTATGTAAATATGGACCCAGGTAAATAATACTTATACAAAATTATAGCCATGTTGTCTTAGTCCAGTCCATTCTGCTTTAATAGAATGCCTAAGACAGGGTAATTTATAAAGAACAGAAATTTATTCTCTCACAGTTCTAAAGCTGAGGAAGTCCATGACCTAGGCACTAGCATCTAGTATGGGCCGTCTTACTTTGTCCTCACATGGAAAAGGCAGAAGGGCAAGAAAGGTGAGCTCTGTGTCTTCACATGGCAGAAGACTAGAAGAGAGTCTGCTCCCACAAGCCCTTTTGATAGCAGCCTTAATCTATTCATAAGGGTGAATACCCGTGACCTAAACACCTCACATTAGGCGCCACCTCCCAATACTGTTACATTGGAGATTAAGTTTCCAATGTGTGAATTTTGGGGGACACATTCATAGTATAGCACAACTCTTATGGGCTGAATTGTGTTCCCCTGAAATTCGTTTGTTGAAGTCTTAATATGTCTTTTATCCCCCTACTTCAGAATGTGACTCTATTTGGAGACAGGGTTCTTAAAGGGGTAATCAAGTTAAAATAAGGTCATTATGGTGGGTCCTAATTCAATATGACTGATATAAGAAGAGAAACTCTGGACACAGACATGTACAGAGGGAAGACGATGTGAATATACAGGAAAAGATGGTCAAGTCAAGCAGAGAGGGCTCAGAGGAAACAGCTCTGCCAGCACCTTGATCTGGCCCGATCTGGGCTCACTGCAACCTCCACCTCCCAGGTTCAAATGATTCCCCTGCCTCAGCCTCCTGAGTAGCTGGGATTACAGGCACATGCCACCATGCCCAGCTAACTTTTTGTATTTTAGTAGAGATGGGGTTTCACCGTGTTGGCCAGGATGGTCTCGGTCTCCTGACCTTGTGATCTGCTCGCTTTGGCCTCCCAAAGTGGTGGGATTACAGGCGTGAGCCGCTGCACCCGGCGAAAAGAAATCTGTTGTTTAAGCCACTCGGTCTGGTACTTTGCTATGGTAGCCATAGTAAGCTTACACATCAGGCAAATATTTTTCAAATAATAATAGGCTGGTATTATCACATTCAAAATAAATTAGGAATGAAAACTTTGAAATGGAACAATAAATAGGCTGTGAAAATTTCAGGTGCATAAGTAAGATGGCTACTTATTGTTAAAACGCTCACTCTGAATGAAGAGACTCCCCAAACAGGCTTTGTTTGAGCAACATGGCTATTTATTCACCTGGGTGTGGGTGGGCTGAGTCCGAAAAGAGAGTCACTGGAGGGCGGTGGGACAGGAGTTGGTTTTATAGGTTTGGGATAAGCAGTGGAAAGTTACAGAAGTTACAGTTTAGGGCGGTTTATGCAAGCTGGGAGGGGGTCTTAGGGTCTGGAGTCTCCAGGTTGACCAAGGTCAGTTACAAAGTCTAATTGCCTTATCAGTTGGGGTGGGAATAAGGAACAATAGAGAATGTCTCAAAGTTACTTAGGCACCGCAGGGGTTGATCATTTCTACCCCTTTTCATGGTCTTCCAGTGTACTTCAGATTTTCCAGGAACTCGTCTGGAGTGCCTGTGCAGGTCACAGAGGTTACTATGGTATCCTTGGCATTGTCAGTCAGCCTAAAATACCTTAATTCCTTTCTTTTATATTAGTAATATAAAGGAAAAAGAAATGAAGAGTGGAGGAAGAATGTTGGGAAGACTGGCACAGAGGGGTGATGGGGTGATGTTTTTCAGGGCTCCTTCGAGCAGGATTGGGGGCTGTGCAGAAACCTGCAAATGGGAAAGAATTTAGACTGCTGGGAGATCTCGGGGCAAGGGGTTGTTACAAGGAGGATTTGTCCTATTTACTGATGGGTTGCCGCTTGTATATGGTTTTGTAGTAATTGAGAGATTAATTGAAAAACACAGGGTCCAAATAAAAGAAGGAGAAAGATAGGTATCAGAGGACTAAGGATTGGAAGAAGCCATGACACTGAGAGAGTGTCCAGCCAGTCCAGCCAGGTGCAGAATACCCATTTGCCTGATTAGCAATCTTTTTTGGGCTCTTTTATTTATTGATAGTATCATATATGGGGCCAGACTGGTTTACATAAAAACAACATTCATCATTTAGGAATAGGCAAAGACCTCCTTTTTCAGCAGTCAGTCAATCAAGACCTTTGCGGTTTTGGAGGACAGCTGCAGCTAGGGAATTTACTTGAGCTTGAAGAAAGGACAGTGATTGAGTTAATTCTAAAAAGCTAGCAGAGAAATCATTATGATTGAAGTGGTAAAGCCTGCTATGCCTGTGCTGAGTCTAGTAGTAATTCCCAACCCTACAAGTAAGGGGATCAATGGAATGACCCGCTTGTGTCGTGTCGCGGCCCCGAGAGGAACAGGGAGGCTTTCGTCTCCATTGGCAAACTGAATTTTGGGAGTAAGGAAAACTAGGGACCAAGTGCCTGTCCAGTTGGTAGGAAGGCAGATGTAAGAGGAAAACCACAGAGGAAAAAAGCCCTTGGCATAGACGGAACTGGAAGTGTAAACTGAAAAGGTGAGAAAGGGTTCTGAGGGGGCTGGGGCTTTGGACCCAAATGCCTAGGGAACCAGCGAGGGCTGCAGCTGTTAAAGGTTGTAGCGGGGCTTGGTAGGGTAACTGTGTGGAGGGAGAGCTCTTGTTTTCATGGTGTATGAGGAAGCACGTGGTACCTATAAGTAGCTACTCACTTTCATTAACAAGATTGGGTTTGAGCAGAAGGAAGAGGGATCTGGAGGAGAGTCTGAAGAGCAAGGGGAGGGCGTCCAAGGATGCAGTGAGAGACAGGGTCAATGCCTACCTAGGCAAAACTTGAAGTTTATTTGCCAATCTCGTGTAGGGGAAAATTCTCGGGCCTGATGTGTAGGAAAAAGGGGTGGTGGGTCTGAGAAAGCCCTGAGGAGTAGGAGAGTGGCAGATAGAACATTGAGATGTGATTGCTTTGAGGATGGATTTCCATGATGGAAAAGAAATAGCGGTTTTTAAAAGATGAGACAGGGGCTTGTATTCTGCATGGAAGCGGTCATGAAAGAATGAGAGGATAGAGAGCTTGTGGGGCAAAGAGGAGGAGCTTTGAACCATTTGCCTTATATTGTATAGGAAGCGACTGGTAACACGAATTTCTGGAGGGAGAATAGGTAGAGGAAATAGAGGGGAAGGAAAAATATTGGCCCTGTGGGGGACATACTGGGGTGTCCGCTGCTGTTTGGCTGTTTTGTCAGCCAAGGCATTTCCTTGGGCAATGGGATCTGACAGTTTTTGGGGTTCTCTGCAGTGGGTAACTCCAGCCTTGGCTGGGAGGAGATTGACCTTAAGGAGGGCCTTTATTAAGCAGGCATTGATAATAGAGAACCCCCGTGCAGTGAGAAAACCTCTTTCTGCCCATATGGCAGGATGGTGGTGTAGGATGTGGAAGGCGTATTTAGAGTCAGTATAGATATTAACATTTAGTCCTTTGGCAAGAGTAAGAGCACGGGTTAAGGCAATTAGTTCAGCTTGCTGAGAAGTGGTGGAGTAGGGGAGTGTGGCAGCCTTGCGAATAGATGAGTGGGATAAAAAAGCATAGCTCGCTTTGGCTGTGCCAGCCGACTGGGCTTGGGGCATCTGCCAGCAATAAACCATGCGTGGTTTGGGCCTGGAATAGGAAAAAGAGAAATATGTGGAAATGGGGAGGATGCTATATAGATTAGGGAGATACAGTCATGGGGTTTAGGGTTTGTGTTGGGTATTAAGTGAGAGGCTGGGTTGAAGTCAGAGCCGAGAGCAATGGTTACTGTGGGGATTTAATCAATAGTGAATAAAGCTGGAGAAGGCGAGGGGCTGAAAGCGTGTGAGGTGTGAAGGGGAAACTAAACTTTGGAGGTTGTGAGAGCTATAGAGGGCAAGTAGGGGATAGCCTGTGATTTTGAGGGATTCTAAGAATATCAGGGGGGCAGCTGCTGCCACATGGAGGCATGAGGGCCAGCCCAGGACTGTGAGGTTAAGTTGTGTGGATAAAAAGGCTACAGGCCATGGGCCTGGCTCCTGTGTAAGAATTCTGACGGCACAGCCTTTTATTTCTGCTGTGTAGAGAGAGAAGGTTTGAGAGGGGTTGGGGAGCGCTAAAATAGGAGGAGACTCTAAGGCTTTTCTTAGAGAACAAAAGGAAGAATGAGGAAGGATTTTTGGTTTATGAGGTCAGCTAAGTTTCCTTTTGTAAGTTCATAAAGTTGTATGGTTGGAGGGCAAAACCTGGTATCCGGAGGCAAAAGTATCCTACAACGCCTAGGATGGAGAGTGGTGGTTAGTGGATGGGGTTGGGGTTTGGGGAATTAACAGGATACGGTTGGCAGGGAGAGCGTGTGTATTCTGTTGGAGGATTATGCCCAGATAGGTGATGGATGGGGAAGAAATTTGGGCTTCCGAAGGGGATGTGTGATATTCCTTTGATTATAGGTGCTGAAGAAGCAGGAGGTTGAATTAAAAGGCCATATTGTAATAGATGGGTGGTAACAGGCTTTAGGCCTTTTAAAGCCTGTTGTGGGTTGGGGTACTGGCACTGGGCTGGGTCAGGGTGGTTAGGTTTTAAGGGGAAGATGAGGAGCGAGTGACCTGTAACAAGGGATGGGGAGGCGGTGTCCCGCACCCTAGGGTTAAGGTAGGGGGACATAAGGGAAGCTATTGAGGGAGGTATGGGTTTGGGGATGAGGGTGGCAATGAGGTGTGGCTGTAGCCCAGGAATAGTTAAGGAGGCAGACGATTTTGTTAGGCTATCTCGGCCTAACAGGGGAACTGGACAAGTGGGGATGATTAGGAAAGAACGTGGAAAGGAGTGCTGGCCTAATTGACACCAGACTTGGGGAGTTGTGAGAGGCCTAGAGGCCTTGCCATCAATTCCCACCGCAGTTATGGAGGCCACGGAGACTGGTCCTTGAAAAGAAGGCAGCGTGGAGTGGGAGGGCCCCGTGTTGATTGAAGGGGATGGACTTACCCTCCACCATAAGAGTTACCTGAAGCTTGGCCTCCATGATGGTCCAGGGGGCCTCTGAGATGTGTGAGCAGTGTCAGTCTTCAGCCGCCAAGCCAAGGAGATCTGGGAAGGATTTGGTCTTGGAGCTTTGGGTTGGAGCTCCAGGAGCTCTGGGAGCAGTGACATGAGTCAGATAGTCTGACTTTGTGGGGTCCCCATGCAAAGGGGCAGGGCTTAGGAAGAATCCTGGGCTGGGTTTCCAGCCCTGAAGCAAGGTCCAGGAGGGGTGGCTGTACGCTGCAGTCTGGGTGCTTTGAAGTCTTTGTGAGCTGGTGGTGTGGCTGGGGTTTGTCTTAAGGAAGAGGCAAGCATCTGTAGTTCTGAGATGTGCTGCCACTGGGCAGCTTCTTCCCTATTATTGAACACCTTGAAGGTGAGGTTAATTCCTGTTGTGGGGTTTGAGGGCCAGATGTTAATTTATGTAGCTTCTTTAACGTCAGAGGCTGATTGGGTGATAAACTGCATGTTAAGCATTCTTCAGGGGTCAGAGTAGAAGTAAGGAAGACATTTAAGTCACTCCAGGTGAGATTACAGAACTGGGTTAAGTACTGGAGGATCTGATGAAAAGGAGCCTAACTGTTGGCCAATTTGGAAAGGTCAGATAAAGAGAAAGGAATGCGCATCCTAAATATGCCTTCGGCTCTAGCCACCTCTTGAAGGGGGAATTGTTGAGCAGGGGTGGAGGAGGTAGCCGGGGGACTAAATTGTAAGCCGGACCGGGTGTGAGGTGGGGAGGTGACCAGAGGCATAAGGAGGTGCATTATGGGCAGAGGAAGAGGAGAGAGGCTCGGGAGTGGGGGTTAGGGCTTGGATTGGGGTCTGGTTCGGACAGGTGGGAAGGAGAAATGTTCGAAGGGTCGATGGGCGAGGAGGATTCTGGGTCACTGGCAGAGGCAGGAGGGGCAGACAGAAGGGAGAGAAGGAAAATTTGGGATGGGTTGCATTGAGAACAGAGATTAAGGAGAGATTGGAGTGTAAATAAAATGCCTGGACATCGGGCACCTTAGACTATTTGCCCCTTTATTGACAAATAAATAGAATAGAAAAATGGAAAGTGCCATTTTCTGGCCATTTGGAACCATTGTCTAATTTGTATTGAGGCCAGGCCATGTTACAGAAAAAATGCGACGTTTGGGTTTCAGATCAGGTGACAGTTGAAGAGGTTTTAGGTTCTTTAGGATGCAGGCTAGAGGTGAAGACAGGGGAATAGAGGGTAGAATATTGCCCATGGTGAAGGAGGTAAGTTTTTTTTTTTTTTTTTTTTTTGTATAAAAACAGCATATTCTTTATTTTGCATACTTTAATTTCAGAACAAAATGAACAAACAAAATAAAAAACCACAATACACAACATCCAATCCTGCTGTCAGAGTAGGGAAAGAATGGGGGCTTGACACCCTTGTTTTCTGCCTTAAACCGAAGGACAGGACAGAAAAACACCAGACATCAGCAGGGGGAGCCAGGTGGGAGAGGGGCACTCAAGGCTGCAGGGGGAGCCATGGGGACACTATACAATGGCAGTTTTCCAACTATAAACTCCTAATCTACTTCTTCCATGCGAGACGCATCCTCATCACCCTCAAGTGGAGGGATCTCATCAGGAACTGCAGCACTGGGTTCCTCTGCTGCCACTTCATCTTCATCGATACCTAGACCTAACCTGATCATGCGGTAGATGCAGTTGGAGTGGGTCTGGGGATCCTCAAGGGAAAAGCCAGAAGAAGGAGGTAAGTCCTGATGAGATCCCTCTTTTTTTTTTTTTTTTTTTTGAGATGGGGGTTTTCTTTTGTTACCCAGGCTGGAGTGCAATGGCGCGATCTCGGCCCACCGCAACCTCCGCCTCCTGGGTTCAGGCAATTCTCCTGCCTCAGCCTCCTGAGTAGCTGGGATTACAGGCACGCGCCACCATGCCCAGCTAATTTTTTGTAGTTTTATAGAGACGGGGTTTCACCATGTTGACCAGGATGGTCTCGATCTCTTGACCTCGTGATCCACCCGCCTCGGCCTCCCAAAGTGCTGGGATTACAGGCTTGAGCCACCGCGCCCGGCGGAGGTAAGTTTTAAGGAAAGGAATAGAGTAGAGGAGAGGAGAAGGAGTGAGCAGCTACCAGGGTTTTTAGTAGGCATCCCTGACTGAATCCTGGGCTGTAAATGTGGGTGACTGATCAAGGCAGGCATCCCTGTGACTGACCAGATACCAAGGGATGACTGTCTTCCCGAGTCCACGACCAACGTCGGAGTTTTTGAGTGAGAGGGAGAGACTTGCCTCTCTGTGTCTACACAGATAGAGTGTCTCCTCTGACTCTACTAGAAGGAGAAAGCTTTAAAGGAAAAGAGAAAGAAGGAGGGAGAGACTTGTCTCCTCTTCTCTGAAGAAAAGGAGAAAGAAAGAGGGAGAGACTTGTTTCCCATTCTCTGAAGGAAAAGAGAGGAAAAAGGAGAGAGAGACTGCTTACCTGATCTGAAGCTGCTGAGAGAGCTGTTCTGCACGCTAAGCACAAGCTGCTGGTCTGGTCTAATGTGTTGGGGTCTCAGGTGGGTCTCTTCCCAGATGGGGAGTGGGGACAGGGGGCTGGTCTCCCCAGAGGAGTACCTCTGTCCTGGGTTTTTGGCACCAAATGTTAAAACTGGCACTCTGGATGACGAGACTCCCTGCAAACAGGCTTTGCATGAACAACATGGCTGTTTATTCACCCAGGTACAGGCTGGCCGAGTCTGAAAAGAGAGTCAGCAGAGGGCAGTGGGATAGGAATTGGTTTTATAGATTTGGGGTAAGCAGTGGAAAGTTACAGAAGTTACAGTTTAGGGTGATTTTTGTAAGCTGGGAGGGTGTCATAGGGTCTAGAGTCACGAGGTTGACCAAGATCGGATACAAAGTCCAATTGCCTTAGTAACTGGGGCAGGAATAAGGAACAATAGAGAATGTCTCAAAGTTAATTAGGTGCCACAGGGGTTGATCATTCTTCCTCTTTTCATGGTCTTCCAGTTACTTCAGATTTTCTAATTCTGGGAGGCCATCCAGAGGTGTATGCGTGGGTCATGGGGGTTGCCATGGCGTCCATGGTGCTGTCAGTCAGCCTAAAAGAGCTCACACTTATGAGACCACTAAATAACATTTTAAGAGGAAGATAAAAGTCAAGTAATAAGTATGCTGGGAGCTGTGGCTCACGACTGTAGTCCCAACATTTTGGGAAGCCCAGGCAGGTGGATCACTTGACGTCAGGAGTTTGAGACCAGCCTGGCCAACATGACAAAACCACGTCTCTACTAAAAAAATACAAAAATTAGCTGGACGTGGTGGTGTGTGTCTGTAGTCCTGGAGGCTGAGGCATGAAAATAAAAATTGCTTAAACCTGGGAGGTGGAGATTTCAGTGAGCCAAGATTGTGCTACTGCACTCCAGCTTGGGTGACAGAGCAAGACTCTGTTTAAAAATAATAATAATAATAATAAGTTTTAGCTACAAGACACATACTGAAATTTGGGGATTTTTCTATGATAATGATTATTCGTTAAAAAATTACTGTTGCCTGGCTGAGATTATGAAAATCTAGAGTTTAATTCTGTGGGCTCATGGATTGCTAACATTACCAGATATCTTCTATATTAGTCAGGCATTATTTGGGAAAGAGTGGAGCCGTATCTTTTGGAATGGTGATATCAGGGATAATTTGGATGATATGGAACACTTAGATGTCTCCCAACCCCAAGTCTCTTAATCATTCCCTCTAACATTCACATAATGAGTTTTCCTTGCTCCAGAAAGCGCCCTACTCCTGCGTATGAAGGAACTATTTCAACTTTGCTTTAAGTTGCTGTTGCTGTGTTTTCTATTTAGACAGTGTTATGGGAAAAAAGTGAATAATTTCCCTCCTATCTTTTGTCTCTTTGCATTAGGCTAATAACCAGAGTCAGAGCCCAAGGGGTAAAGTGCAAAATAAAAGCATTTAAAAAATGCTTATGGATTAAATTAATTCCAGGAATTTGATAATTTGCATTAGGCAAAATCTCCTAATGTTATCTGAATGGATCAGTCTAGGTATTTTTGTGTGATGTGGTATGTGGCAGGACCATCTATTCCATGAACATGAGTGTGTGTTGCCTTTTTTTTTCCCCCTGTGAATGAGTTCCTTAGTAAGGAGCAATGTGGGGAAAACTTGGGATGGCATCATGGAGCGGAAATCAAAGCACCTCTCTAGGCCGTGCACAGTGGCTCATGCCTGTAATCCCAGCACTTTGGGAGGCCGAGGAGGGCAGATCACAGGGTTAGGAGTTCAAGACCAGCCTGGCCAACATAGTGAAACCCCATCTCTACTTAAAAAAAAAAAAAATTATCCGGACATGGTGGTGCACGCCTGTGGTCCCAGCTACTCGGGAGGCTGAGACAAGAGAATTGCTTGAACCCAGGAGGTGGAGGTTGCAGTGAGCTGAGATTGCACCACTGCACTCCACCTAGGGCAACAGTGTGAGACTTCATTTAAAAAAACAAAACAAAACAAAAAACCTGTCCAGGATCAGCTTGGAGCCAAAAGGACTACCTATTTCAGGGAAAGAGTAAGCCAGAGATCTCCTGCACTTCTTATTACCACCATGGACACTTGAAATATTAGCTATAGGAGAGCCGCAGAGGCTTCACAGGCCCTGAGCCCAGGATAGGGAGCTACCTTGAGCCCACATAGCTGCATTGCTCTAGAGAAGGAAATCCCACTGGGTGCCCGTCAGGCCCTAAAACCCAAGTTGCTATAGCATGGTGCCATTTTGAGAACAGACTCACTGCATACTGCCCTGAGGCACAATAGCTTTACATCCCTGGGGTCCTGTCATTATCCCACCATGCCTACACAAAAGGCTTCAGCACTATAACATGCCACAACTTCAGTGGACACAGCAATATAACCTACTGTGTCCTGGCACCTGAGTTCATGTAGTGCCCTACACTCCAAGGAAAGGGAATACAGCACAGTGGGAGGCCACCCCCAAGAATTGGGTGAGCAGATGTGTATGTTTCTCAGGGCCTGAAAGCTGGCCACTGCTGGCAGCCCCACTGCCTTGGCTAGAAGATCTACCATGCATGTCTCCCAAGGATCTGAAGACTGGCCTACCTAGCACTCACAGTCACCAATGACTCTTCCCCCTTGACTGGTGCAGACTCTGCACCTGATACATATTTCTCATTACAAGGGGCTGAGAACTGACCTGCCCAGTCATATTCATCCCAAGCAAAGCCACACTACTGCCTCCACAGTCTGGGCCACTGAGACACTCACAGACATTGCTGATGTTGACTGTAGCCAAAGAAATCTCATGGAGACTACACTACTGCACCTACCCAGAACTAAAGCCAAAGCACCACCCCAACTGATACTGTAAAACACATCTATAGGAAAGAAGTCTGTCTCCGTGAAAGCTACACCACAAAATGGGAAGAGGTGACTATTCTACCACATGTACAGATATCAATATAGGGACACAAGACGAGAAAAAGCAAGGAAACATGACAACTCCAAAGGAACGTGATGATTCTCCAGTAACAGACCCTGAAGAAAAGGAAATCTATGAAATGCCTGAAAAGAAATTCAAAACAATTATCTTAAGGAAACTCAGTAAGATACGGGAGAATTTAACAAAATATGGAAATTTAACAAAATAAGGAAAGCAATTCATGATCTGAATGAGAAATTCAACAAAGAAATTGATATTTAACAAAACACCAGAAAATTTGGAGCTGAAAAATTTAATGAATAAAATAAAAAATACAGTTGAGAGCTTCAACAATAGACTCACGCCTGTAATTTTAGTTACTTGAGAGGCTGATGTGGGAGAATTGCTTAAACCTAGGAGTTTGAGACCAGCATGGGCAAGAAAGTCAGACCCCATCTCTGGGGGGAAAAAATAGCCAGGTGTGGTAGCATGCATCTGCAGTCCTAGCTACTTGTGAGGCTGAGTTGGAAGGATCATTGTGCCCAGAAGTTTGAGGCTGCAGTAAGCTATAATCATACCAGTGCATTCCAGTGTGGGCAACAGAGTAAGACCCTGTCTTTAAAACAAAGAAAAGAATGAAGAAAGCAGCCTAGGGCACTTGTGAGGCATGATTAAGTGAACAAATATTTACACTATTTATGTTT